CATATTTTCCTTCCTGGGCCCATTTAGCTTTCCGTTTGAGCTAAAAATTTGGTAAGCAGCAACGTCAGCAAAGGTTTTTTGGGGACAAATCTACTGCCAATTTCGCTATCTACCTACCGCTCTTTGAAGATTAAATTTGTTCCTTTCCCAAAAAGTTAGCCAGCCATGCTCAATTTCATGCAAAAGAAAGAAGATAAAGTGGACAACAAAACTGCATATAAAAAGGAAAGGTAAAGGAAAAAAAGAGACCGAAAAAGAAAGATCGAATTAGATTTGCAAAAAAAAGGGATGTTCAAATTTTGGCTTATGCGCATGCGCGAAATAAAAAAAAAAAAGCTGCTTCATTACAGTCCCTATTTATTCGGAAAATATTCCCTTAATGCTGCAAAACTCAAAACCAGTCCAAAAAAGAGGAATAGCTGACTAAGGGTTAATTAAGCTTCCTTATAGACCTTATATTATCAAATGCTGAAAGTGATTGAACTTAAGTTTATCATTGTACTATCACTAAAATAGAGGGATGAAGGAGGCAAAGCCGGCCACCGGTTAGCTCAGCTGGGAAAGTGCCGGCCTGCCGATTTGGAGGACGCGGGTTGAAAGCCCTGTAGCCGGACCAACAGGTACAACTACCCTGGCTCCCTCCGTTCTCCGGAAATACTTACGAGGAAATAATCCTTGCGCACGGTTTGATAAACTCGCGAGACGCCTCGACCGCCAACTATCAGAAATTACGAAAAAACCCTCATCATGAGATCATGTTGGCTGTGATCGATTTAGACCTTAGCTTGTCTCAGTTCAGATGATCGCGTAATTGGGCGGTGACGTTAAGCCCGTGGCATAGTCTCCTTCATCCTTCGTTGATTTTCGGAAGTCAGTTAGTTTTTTAGATTTCACTCCTCAAGTTAGGCAATCAAGTTCTTAGAAAAAAAGAAACCTACAATTTTCGAATTAAAAAATGTGATGGAGAGAGGAATCAGAAAAATCCTCACTTTCGTCATACGTTAAATCGCATCTAAAATTTTCGGGAGAATGATACTGAAGCCCTTGTAATTTCGAAAAGACTTGAGTTCACCCCCTAGGATGACCGAACAGATACAAATTTCATAGCGTTTCTTAAAATGTATTTCTAGAGATCTAAAAGTACTCTGGATAGCTAAGTCAAGATGCGTTTTCCACGTATTTAGGAGGAAACCGGTGCCCCTGAAATTTGCACTGTACTATGCACTGAAGTGCTGAAAAATCAGTAACTATCAATTATTAACATGGAAAATTGCATATTCAATCGATCTTGATAACTCGAATCCCTTGTTCTAACTGAGTGTTTTTCGTTTTCCTTCAGAGTTCGAGTTACCGGAGTTCTACTGCATGTATATAGTGATGTTACGATGCGTAACGCTAGAGGCTATTGTTTTCAAAGCTAAGCACATCCTTGGGAAGTCACTCATACTCTGTGCTTCTTTCTGCTTCATGGTTTGCTGACGCTGGATCTCGGGGGCACTCAACAAAGTTTTATACGAGGATTCTCCGACGTCCAACCTCTCACCATTTTATTTACCTTTGTGACAGAAAGGGTACCCCTTTCGTATTCCTTCTATTGACAAATGGTACCCCTTTCACATTACCTAGTTTAGAGCTTTGTATCTCCTTTAACTATTGTAAATGCACCGTCTTTTTAATTTGAATAAATCTCAAAACCAGGAACGTTTTCTCGACTCCTTCACAGCCATAAAATGCATCTGTTAGCCCTTTTTGGCCTTTTTACAGACCGAAATGACAAATTTCCTAGCGGCTTTCATATACTTCAACAAGTAAAATCCCTACCCCTTCATACGCAGCCTTAAAAACGTACCCCTTTCGGGCTGAGCCTCCCCGTATAAGCCATTACAGGGAATAAAGTAAAGACTGACTTAAGACTGGACTATATGCAGACAATTTTGCGACTTTTTGAATGTTTCCGGAAAGGTTTTATCGCTCATTCGTTTTGCAAATGACCGTTATACACTCTTCAATCGGCTAAACGCAAGTAGACTTGCGCGATATCGAACTTGACAGGAAAACATGTGAATCGAAGCGGGGTAAAACGCAATGCTGAGCTTCTTTTGTAATTTCTAAGGCTTCTTTCACGAAAACAGCGATTAAACCGAAATTCGACGATACATTTCTTTAAAAAATTTCAGTTCTTCTGTAATTGATCAGTGTACTATAAAATGCCTGATATGCGATTTTCGTGTCCATTAAAACATTTTAAGTTGCCGCACACCGAAGGCTCAAATATTGAAGCTTGCAGCACGCAAGAATTTACCGTGATTGGTAATCCATTTACTATTGTTTTCTCCCTTTCTACAGCATAAGCGTAATTCAGCGGAAAGATTACTGAGGGCAACCAAGCGCGGTAAATTCTCGGGCACTTCATGAAACTCGAGACAATAGGAAACCCCAAAGCCTAAAATTATCGAAATCTATCACATCGCTTCAATATTTACTCAATTTAACATTAACGTACCATATTTCAGACTACGGAAATTGTTAGAAAATAGGTGGTTTTCACGTTACGTCATCGCCGCCATGCTTGTGCACGGCAAACAAAAGATAGCTCATTAGCTCGTTTGTTTGTCCACCGGCATTTGTTTATTTCACCATTGTTCCCGAGATAATGAAAACCGCCTATACATGCTAGCCTGCTAACCATGACTTGGGCTGCGTGCAAACGGACGCAACAACTCCCAACATCGTTGCGCCAGCAATGTTGAGAGTTGTTGCGTGCATGTTGGCAGTGGTGTACAAACGGATGCAACACAGTCCCATCAATGTTGGAACCTGCAGTGCATCGTGGGAAGGATACAACCAATAAATCTTTGTAAACCATGCATAATGAACGTGCGTGGCCCCAACAATGTTGGAAGATCACGCTTGGCTGACTTCCGAATGCTCATCGAGATATTATAAATTTGGTACAGTGTGAGACAGGCCATCGCGTGATAAATAGAGGTTTAACTAACAATTTTTAATCAATTCTCGTGCTTCTTGTGTCTTTGCAAAAAAATCAAGAAGTGCTACACACTAAGTCTACTTACTATTACAAAAATATCATTTTTTCATAGGTTTAATGCAAGCCAATAATTAAACCAACTCGTGACGGGAATATCTCGGTGAGCATTCGGAAGTCAGCCAAGCGCGGTCATTGCACGCGTGCTGAACAAGAATGTTGTATAATGACAGACTAGAAACAATAGACAACTCCCAAAGCACAAGCTCAGCCAAAACGCTAAAAATCTTCAATGTTTACTCAAGTTTGAGCTTATAGAAGATAATGTCACAGTTTTCCAATGACCATGAAATTCAGAGTTCGGGTAGTTAGTTAATCAATTGTGGCCCTGAAAAAATTTGAAGGAAAAAAAACTACGAATTTTTAAGAAAATGCTTTTTTCGTGAGAAGGACTCTCAAACGCTGACAAACGTCAACAAATAGCGAAAACTATAATTTCTATATGTTTGCTTTGCTCGAAATCGCGCGCATTTACAAGGCCCTAAAGCGTTTTGCTGACTTGCAAGGACCCATCTGTTATAACGATGCCCAAAATAAAGGTATGAATCTCTTGGTTTATTAGATATAATACGTGTAAAGTTTGCTTACCATTTTCGCATAAATTATGACCTAAATTTGGAAACCGCTGAATTTCTCGAATTGGGTCTTTGCGATTTTGGTGAAACTCTGTTCAGCGCAAGGCACTAATGAGCACTATGTGTAACCAAGAGATTTTCACAAAAAATGCCGGCAACAGCCGATTTTGGACTCAGACCTCAAAGGAGCGTGGCATTATAACCACGTGACATTTACTCCGATCGCCAAAAATTTTATGTTATATTGCAGATTGATCTATATGTTATCCATTCTATGTGTTATACTTACGATAAAAGTAAAGGTGGGGATACCAGAGAGCTTCAAAGTAGGATGGTACCCCCCCCAAAAAAACTGGGTCGAGTCACCTTAAATTACTCAATTTGTTTGCCACTACCCAGTTTAATTTCGATATCATGTTGATGGGTATTGAAGTGAGAGAAGACTATCTATTTGATAACTCACCTAGCCTGTTCATAGCCCTTGCGCCCTTCCTTACCAAGCAATCTGCCGAGTTTAGGTATCCAGACAAGTCAGTATAGGAAGACTTGATAACTGATGCACTGATCGCGTTGACGGCGAATCGCGTCGGAAACGTGAGGAAGGAGAAAACTAGCTTCGGTGAAGCTCAGCTGTTATACTTCAAGATGCGATAAACATTTTTGAGTCTTGTCGAGGTCGTCGTCAGTGATGCCCTACTCAACAGTAAATGCAATAATTTTTATGTAAATTTTTACAGTTTATATGGTTCAGAACTGGTTCAGGTACGTGCACATTCATAATAGGCCACACTCATAGAATATCCCCGGAAGAGGGGGATATTATTTTTATTAAAGGTTCCGCACGAGGGCGCAGCCAGTGCTTGCTTGCTAGCAAAGATCTCTTTACCTGGTAATCGGCGGACGAGAGGAAAAGAGACTCTTTTACGCTTTTCCTCCCACCCGCCGAATACAAGGGGGACAAAGAGGCCCGGCAAAGAGGCCTTTGCTAGCAGGGAAATCAGAGCCAGATAAGGATCTGCCAAACAAGATCACGATACTTTCTGTTTGGCCGCCCCTCAAAACCCCTTCCGTTCACTTCTTCCGTAGCCTCCCCCGAGGACGTTCTTGGGGGTTTGGGCAGGAACGCGTGACAAACCCCTAAGAATATCGGAAGGCCTTAGATAACAACGACCTAAACCAGGTTTGGCTGACTAGTGGTTTTGTGAAAAGGGTTTGTTGGGGGTGCTCAGTCTCGCAGGCTCATAAAACCTGGTACTCAGTCCTCTGTTCCTTTTATGGAAACTTGTCCAGTCTTCCCGCGTTACTAGTGCTAATGCTGATGGGATGGTTTTTCTTCTTGACTCGTGCACGAAGCCCTCCACATAAAATTTTGAAGTAAG